ACAGTCAGAGAGTGAGACACACAGAGACACAGTCAGAGAGTGAGACACACTCGTAACAGAAATCCTTGTGACGAGGAGGTGTGGATTAAGATGGAGAGACCCTTTTGTGGGCGTTTTCAATATGAATGTGTGTGTGATGAATTTGGTCGGTGACTTTCTGTGGAGCCAAAGATATTTTACACAACAAACCCACAGTGATGAATATCCCACCAGCGACAGTGTCAATGAAATATGTGTGTGTGTGTGTGTGTGTATGTGTGTGTGTGTGTGTTTTCCAGATGAAGAAGGAGATGAGTGACCATGACTCCATCAGTCAAGAGGTCGTTGGTAACGCCCACATCGAAAACTACGCCTTAAAAATGTTCCTCTATGCTGACAACGAGGACCGGGGGGGGCGATTCCACAAGTAAGAGACAGACTCCTCCTCTTGTCAATCACATCTGGCTGTAAATTGTTATGACTGTTATGACACACACACACACACACACACACACACACACACACACACATCAGACTTTCTGTTTCAAATCATTTTGTCTCCTAGCAACAGACACATGTTTCATCTGATACAGATCAGAGAATCTGCAGTTTGACCTTTGTTCACATCTTCAACACGTGTGTCGGGTTACATCACGTCAGCAATGACGAGGGATTCAAATTTGAATTTCACGATGAGGTTTCTAACACGTGACGGACGTGAAACTGAAGAACTCAAATGTCTCAGGATGAAGAAGAGGAGCCGCACACGTAGAAGACGAAGACGTCCACTTGGAAAGACGAGGAGGTTCCAGATGTTTTGGTGATGAGGGCCGACGCCGTGTGGACGAGCTGTAAACAACAACACTGATCTTTACACAGTTTAGACGTCATGTCCCGCCTCCTGCTGCTCTACAGGCTCCACCCCTCGCCACATGTTCCTGTTGTGAACGAGTCGACGATCTGCTGCCGCTCCACAAACACTCACTACTCGTGTTGAAGGTCTATGAACAACATCAAATGTTCTCCTGTGGTTCAGAGGACTTGCTGCATGTGTCTCGTTACACGTGATGACTCATCCGCCCCTCGCCGCTCCTCAAACCACAGTTGCTTCATTTCGATCCGTGCCGCCCGCCACACTTTTCCATCCGCTCTGGATGTTCACACTGAGACACAGATGATTTCATCCTGTTGTGTGAGAAGATCCCGACTAATGCAACTCTGATGAAAAGTCCTCTGTATGATCCTCTCAGGCAGCGTCTGCTGTTTCTCTGCTGGAGTCGTGGGAAGAAAGTTCGATGCTTCCATTGAGATGTCAAACAAAGCTGTTCATTTTTAAATCCTCATGAACTCTGATCCTGGTTTGAACAAGTGGATTGAGAATCAGTCTTGATTGTGTTCAAGCTCCAGCAGATGGAGTCGGAAGTCTCATGTCAGACTCTTTAAAAGGTGATTAACTGTCAGTTTCATAGCAAATGTAATTGGACCAGTTTATATTTTCTAATTTGAGAGAATGTTGATGGCTCCTCCACTACAGACTCAAGATCCTCCCTAAACATCCAGGATATCTGTGCTGCCATCTTGCCCCAAACACGTCAGTTACGCTCAGTCTGTGCCGAAGTGGAGTGGAGCTATGGTGTCCAGGTCCCGCCCCCACACACCTTTTGACCAATCATGATCCAGTGTCAGCTGTCGATCTTTGTGTCTCAGCCCATTTTTTTAAGGCATCAAATAACAGATTACAACCGAGCGGTCATGTGGTCCGTCTTTATTTACAGTCTGTGGGACAGACACACGTGTTGCATCGAAGAAAATAATAAAGAAATTACCGATGAACTCACCTGGACGTTTGAGTGTCGTTGTTTTTGAATTCTTCGACAGTTCATGGACTCTGTCAGTGATAAAAACTGTCTTTGTGGATGAACGGGACCAGAGCCGGAGCGTGGGGTTCCCACCCCGTCAGTAAGTGTGAGCAGCTCGTGGCAGGTTGTGGAGAATGAATGGATTCAGGCGACAGGTTCTCTGGACGTGTTCAGTGTAAATAAGAGTTGAGAAGCGATCTGTGTCCAGCAGCTGTACTGAGCAGGACAGAGTAACACCGAGGCTCCGCTGGAGGGGGACCACAAACAGTCTGCACTTTTTACGAGATGCAGTAGGACGGTGCTAACAGGACCCAGGCCTCAGTGACATGTTATGTCTCCCCCTGGACACACACACACACACACACACACACACACACACACACACACACACGAACAAATACACACAAACAAAGTAAATATAAAGTCATTTACAGATAAAAAACAGGCCCAAATAGAGTCTTATATACACAGGTAAAAAAATACTTGTACATATGTGACATACTCATTGACTCATGTCCACACACACACACACACACACACACACACACACACACACACACACACACACACGGTGGGGGAGAATGTTTATGAGAAACTTCCTCCAACATGTCGAGGCCTCTGCTCAGGAGCTCACACGCTGCACTACAAGGAATTCATTCATTTCCTTTACCTGTGTGTGTGTGTGTGTGTGTGTGTGTGTGTGTGTGTGTGTGTGTGTGTGTGTGTGTGTGTGTGTGTGTGTGTGTGTGTGTGTGCGCGCGGTGACTCTGTTCACTCATTCTGCATCAGACGGAGTTTTTAACTTCCTCCTCGTGACTATAGATTCTGTCAGTTAAATCTTCAGGTGAAGGTGACACGTCCTCGATGACAGAGAGCAGACTGTTGTCTTGACTTTCACTGTTGAGATGCTGTTTATTTGTGAATGAATGAATTTACACTCTGCACACGCACACGCACACACACACGCACACACACACACACACACACACACAGCTCAACAACAGAAAAATGAATTCTTGGTTTTATTGTCTATTACAGATGCAGCGCTGAGCTTTGTGCTTCACACAAATCACTTTTATAAATCTCTCTTTCCTCCTCCTCCTCCTTTCTTGCTGCAGGAACATGATCAAGTCGTTCTACACGTCCAGTCTGCTGCTGGACGTCCTGTCTGTGTTCGGGGAGTTGTCAGAGGAGGTAAGAGGAGGTGGCATCAGTGCAGTACTCTCTCTCATCTAACTTGTTGCTCTGAATGTGTTGAATCCCTCTGCCGCCGATGATTGAATGAATTCTGTGGGAAACACTGGTACAAGCACGAGAAACATCTTTAAATGTGTGATCAGAGGTTCATGTTTCTATAGGAGGTTACGACACACACACACACACACACACAC